ACTAACCAGGCTACCAGATTAAACAAGAGGAAAAGGATATCGAGCTGATCTGATATACTGATAAACTAGTCATAGTCCTATATAGGTTATTTGGATTGAGAGTTTGGTAAAAAAAGCAAAGGTATACTAAAGTACTAGAGATATGCTATAAAGTAGGTACTGAGGTCTGTGTGAACTCTACAAGGGTATAGCAGTTTAACAGTTAGCTCTAACTGCAAGTGTTAGTTCTGCCATAGTGATATCCGAGTCAGCTACAAAAAATAGATAAATAGCAGGCTCCAAAAGGTTTATCTCGAGAATAACTGTCCTAAAATTAAGACAAAAGATTTGGGCTTGACCTAGTAAAGTAATATAAGACAGGTTCAGAGAGTTTAAATAGAACATCAAAGCAGAGGTATTAGGTATAGCAATTGGTAGAGAACATTAGGTGGACTCCTTAAATAGGTAATATAGAAAGTTACACAAGTGACCAATTGTATGCTCTTTCTGTAGTAGCTTTTTATGGAACTACATTTCTAAAAATATGTTAATAAAGTTGAAAAACCAAAAAGGTCACCTTAATACTGAAAAAAAATTATAAATCAATTTAAAGAAGAATCATGAATCTTATTGTTTCTTATTATTGTTCAAGTGCTATTAAATTTTATTTTCATTTTAAAAAACAAGAAAATATTGATATTTTTGTGTTCACTATTTATCATATACTTAAACTCTATAATTTGGTATCAACATCAAAAGAAAAAAACTTTACCTAAATCAAAATTATAAAAAACATTAGTTAGAATTTGTAAAAAAAATATAAAAATTAGATTTACAAAGACTAGACCAAAATAATTTAATTTAATAAATTGAAATTTAAGATTTTGAATTTGATAGCAAACAATATTATTAAAAACATCTAAGTGAACCTTTAAATAATTTTCATATTAAGCCAATAGTAAAATATAAAGGTAGTTTGATTATAATTTGAGGCTGCTTTACATATTATAATATTGATGGTTTTTGTAAATTTGATGACTATATAAATAATGAGTCATATCATCAAATATTTCATAAGGATTTTATAAGAACTGTCAGGAATCATGAGTTTAACATTTATAAGGTTATTTTCCAGTAAGACAATAACCTCAAACATATAACAAAGTTGATGAAACATTGGTTAAGAAATAATTATGTTTAGTTGTTGGATTGACCATCTTAGTCTCCTAATCTCAACCTTATTGAACATCTGTAGATTGAAGTTAACTGTTAACTTAGAAATTTTTTTGAACAAATTTTGAGCAAAAAAGACCTTTGAAATAAAATACAGGTAATTTGGCAACAAATTAACATTGAGACCTGCACCAATCTGATTTAATCTATGCCTGAACAGATTCATGATGTTATTAAAGCACATGGTAGATACATCAAATGATAGAGGCCAAAAGGCACTAAAATAGAAAAAAATTTTTTTTTTATATGTAAAAAAAAATTTTTGTTTTAATATCGTGTTGTATTAAATACGATCAAAAGTAATGCAACATGTCAAGTGAAATAAAGTTTGTGTTCCCAAAAAATTTGATTCATTTATTTTTTTTAAATTATTATATATGAAATCTAAAGTATTCATAGTAAATAAAAAAAAAAAAAGGATACGTTTACTATTACACGAAATAACGTGATCTAACTAATTTTTTTTTTTTGCTCTATTACTTATGATCGCCACTGTATAATCAAAAAGTTTAATAAATAAGTTGTTTGAATTTATTAGGAGCAATGGCGTCATAATCTTATAATCTTCTTATTCTATATCTGTAAATAAATTTATTTTAAAATAAAGATAAAAATAGTGAGGATTATTTAATTCCAAATAGCTTACCTTATCTAGTACATTTATTCAGCAAGGCAAAAAAAACTACAATGGTATTGTTATAGTGAGGAATATGAGAAAAATGTTTAACTCTTAGTTCGGAAAATAATATCAGTGACCAAATGATAAGAACACAAATATATAATGAAATTAAGAGAGAATATTTGTAAAAAAAATCACAAAAAGCCAAAACCATCCATATATTGTTTACAGCTGTTTTCAAAAAGGTGTGAACAACGATTTTCATATACCTATGTGGGAAATTGAAGAATCGGGAAATTCTGATTAGTAAAAATTGAATATCCGATTAGCATTGGATTTGAAAATTCTGGAAATCTAGGAAATTTCGTAAATTTCTCGAAATATATCTGCGTCTGTCTACACCTTTTTGAAAACAGCTATAAATTCTTAGAATTTCCCTGACAATAATATTTCCAAAGATTCCTCATTGAATACCGATTTCTCAGTATAATATCTGCTGTCATATTAGATCTTTCTGTTGGTTAAACAAACAAGAAAAATTTTTTTTATCCTACTAATTTCTGTGTTCAAGTTCTACATATGAATAGGATTCTAAAAATAATCTTAAACATTCAAATTAAAAAGGGAAGTCATTGAGATATCTTTGTTAAAAATTCAAAAACAGATTCAAAATATAAGAAGTTTTTAGCCAATCATAGATTTGCATTTTAAAAGTTCCTATTCACATGTGGTATGTGATGCGCAAAATTTGCTGATCACAGTAATTTGAAAAGTGCAAAAAATGATTTTTTACCATCCCTACTGTAATGCCAAAAATCCAATTCGGAAAATTTTTTCCAGAAATTATGAAAAAAGCTGTAAGTAAAATGTCTGATAGATGTTTTTACCTATAATATCTGCTTCAATCATAGCCTATATTGACCCTAACCTCAATGTTAACTTTAATTAAATATATATAGTAATCCTGTGGGCTTTAGCCATTTTCCGAGACGAAGAGAAACTACTGAAACTGAGCAAAACTCCGAAGCTGTGCGAAACATGACGATTACCGAAACATGTGGTTTTCCATTAATGACACTCAAATATAGGACATGATCTAGGACAATTGCCGTTTGTAATTTGTTTTCAAATAAGGTTTCTAGTCCATTACCCTATTAACTTGAAAATTTTCAGAAGTTTGGCAAGTTCATGGTTTCGCCTAGTTTCGAAATTTGGATGAAACGTTTAGGACTTTGAGAAAGGGTTCAAGGCCGAAACACTAGTTACACCTTTTCATACATCACAACATCATGCGTTTTATCAAGGAACGTTTGACTTGATTGTTTGAAACCTTATCAAGCTTGTCAACATGAAAATCTGTGTTTGAGACCTCATGGTGGTTTATTTCAGGAAGATATTCTTTTGGCAGTGTGACTGTACAATATGTGAATTGAATGTTAGTTTCGATTAACTAAGGTATAAACAACAAACATAGCAGAATCTTTATAGTAGAGATAACGTACTTAAAAGAAGCCGGCTTTAAGTTCACTTCCAGTAACTTAGCTTCATTTCATGTGAAGTCTGATGCTGATTTGGTTGTAATTTTAGTCTTTGTGAAAAATAGCTTGGGAAAGAAGGTGACTATAGAACAGAACCTTATGACAGAATAACAGGAACAACATAAAGAAAGTAAGATGTTTGTTGAATAACACATTTTTGGTTAATCCCTTATACATTAGTTTGGGTTAGAATTAAAATATCTTTGTAATTGTGTACATAGTAGCAGAATTTCACGAGAAGCATTCTTAACAGGGCCAATAATTTTTAACATTTCGCAAAACCACAAAATCAGATTGTAAAATAAAATACGTCAAGAATAGCACAAAATAGTTGCAAAAAATTCTTTTTTTTTGTTCACCCAGAGGAAACCTTCAAAAGGCGACTAGAAGTGTTACCCCCTAGACAGTGTGAGATTTTTACTCACTAAAACCTCTGGAGTAAATGTTTTCACAAAGTACAACCTGACTTGTAAAGTAAAAACATTTACAAACCAAAAAAGACCCTGACAAGATTTAATAGTTTTAAAAAAACAAATGCGAATACTTACACTCATCAGGGTCAAAGGGGCCTTGCCAGGGAGAAGTGAATCTGTAAACCAGATGATTTTAAATACTTACCATGAAAGAAACCCAAAGTAGGGAATCTTTCAAAAACGAAAGGTTAAATAGGCGTAGCAACTGAACACAAGTGTGAACAGAACGAAACACTTATCTTAATCGGTTCCAAAAAAGTTCTTATGTATAAGAAAAAATAAACGCGTAAAAGAAAACAAAAAATTTTAGGCCAAGAATACAAATAATATCGCGTTGTAAAATAGAAGAATCCGAGAAAAATATGTCTTATATACGCGTTTACACATGATGTTGGATTGCTTTTTTTTTTCGATCTTGATTTCCCACGCTCACATGAGTTTTTATTGCGCTTTGCCCCTCAGATCATGATGTCATGTAAAATCACGGGATATTAGATTCTAACGCAAAATAGAAATATTATTATAACAAAACAATTCCTTACACAATTTTTAATACCAACAAATCAAAAAACTCATGCTAACTTGATTTTGGTCGCCAACCTTATCGTTATTAATATTAAATTGCAATTATGAGATTTTAATTTGGTAGGGTGCTTTTTTAGAAGGATACTGCTGTACAGTAATATTTACAAAATTGACTAAAATATACTTAAAACTTTTGAATATATTTTTTATGAAAGTTATAATTTAAGTTCAATTTCCGCGCCAGAGACTTTAACATTATCCAATTCAAAAAAATACACAATTTTTTAAAATCAAGATGTAACGTAAAAAAATAGTTATTTGCAGAATTTTATGCCAAAGGTTACAATCGAAACTTTAATCTAAAGCCAAGATTGGCCAAATTTAGTTTTTTGAATATTATATGACTACAACAAAACTAAAGACAATTAAGACAAATATAGTTGTAATATTTCATTTTTGTAATTACACGCTTATATTATCTAAAACAACGAACTTTTGGAACAACATAGATAATGGTAATTTCATACATTGAATTGGATTTTTTTTTAACTTATAAAACTATATTTTCATCCATCAATCGATTACAAATCTTCTATTTTGTTCCAACCGAACTCCTACAATGCTTAGCTTTAATTACATGGAAGTTATTCCAAGGGCAAGATTATACTAACAATTTAAATAATGGTATAATAACAATACATTACATCTTACGATATTTCAATTAAAATGCAAACTATAAGACCTTGCTTGAATCATAACCTTTTCTATATTCAATTTTATCGACCTTAACATCACCATCAACTAATCGATAAACGTATGTTACAACAACAGAACCTTGAATATCCATCAAAACAAAAGATGGCTTTATATCTCTGCAATTAATTAAAGATAACCAGAGGAAAGGGATGAACATTTTTGAATAAAATAAAATATTAAATTGCAATGAAAAATTCTATGAAATAACTTACTCAGTACTAAATCCAGAATAAGCACCAGTTGCACTCCCAGGATTAACAAAAAATTTGCCTTCATATTCAATCGCTTCAAAGCGATGAGTGTGGCCAGTTAATAAAATATCCGCATCCATTTGTCGTGCTATGATTGACAAAGCTTCAGCGTCGCCCACAGGAATTATTTGGTGACCATGAAGAATCCCGATACGAAGTGGACCGTGAGTTATAATTTTGGAGAGAGGCCAGTTTGGAAACTAGCATTGTATTTGAATAGGTATCATAAATAAGTTAAATTGATTAGGGTTTATCATACTTATGGCATACCTCGTCATAATCACCCCGCACGACATGAACGTCTGCTGCTATGGTACGTAAATAATCGAAAGTTTCTTTGTCACATACATTCCCTGTACATATGATTTGTTGTATCTTTCCTGGTACCTATTTTGTTCCGATTGATTCAATTTATTAATAATTTATGAAGCAAGAGTTTTTATTTAATTGCGATTGAAAAAAATAAGAAATTAAATACAACCAAAAGTTTTTTGAACTTGAGGGGAAGATCGTGCACGCGATACGGAACATGAAGATCGCCTATTACTAAAACCAACTATAATTTTGAGCAAAATCATTTCACAATTTTAAAAAGTTTGTTAAGCTGTTATTGTCGTTTAAATATATTAGGTTTAAACATTTACCACCATTGCGAAGAGAAAAGCCTATTATTGAAACAATTTAGTATTATTACCAAAGTTCTATTTATGTGCTAACGTTACACTGAATATCAATATAACTAAAATCAAAGATCGACAAAAATCGATATTAAAATATTTATAAAAATCTTTCTCGAAATTTTACAGTAAAATTTTTTTCGTAATGAAGAATTGCAGATGCATAATGAGAATCTTGATGGTAAGCACGTAGTTGACGTGTTTGGACCATAAATTTTAAAGGTAGATGACTAGTAAATTGTAAACTACTAAGTTGCATATGTAACTAGTTGTATATTCATACAATGAATATGGTTTTTATAGAATATGGTTATATGCAGAAGATTTTATTGATAATACAGTAATACAGTGAGTTGGGTAAAACCATATATAATGTATATTATATATATATATTCTAAGCAAATATATAATGTATTATTAACAATTTCTAAGGCTTTATTTATATACGGAGAGACCTCCCTAAGTGCACCCTCTCTATGTAAAATCTTTAAGTAAACGATGTAGTCTGGTCCCAGATTTATATTAGCACTATATATTTTACTCTATAAATATACACCCTCTCTAAGTGCAAATTTTTGAAAATTGTTACTATGGTCTCAAAGGAGGTGCATTTAGAGAGGTTTCTCTGTAATTTGTTTGTATATTTTAAATTTCGCGTGGTTAAGGCCGACACCTAAAAGATAAACTTGGCAGCTATTAAATTATCATGAAATCAATCGTGTCGAACATTTAATTATGTTAATGTTCATGATCAGTTAATCCCATATCTTTCTCGTTATCACAAATATTATACTTTCGCAAGAGACTAAATAATTCCGGAAAAACATGCGTGTGTACATCGGATGCCCATATGAAATCTAAAACAAGAATTGTGCTCTCGGGTTAGTTGATGTAATAGTAAATGTTTAAAACCTGCTTACTCACCCAAATGTTCATAAGGTGGCACCTCCTTAGCAAACACCGGCTTAGGTAATTGTTTAAGAAGAACTTCAATATTCACCAAACTATCACTTCCTCCATAAAACACACTAATAGGTGTTTGGATCTGCTCGGTAGGGAATTTGTGACAATAATGACCAATAGTGGTAGGTAATGAATATGGTGGTAATTCATCATACATTTGAAAACTATTTGCACGAATTATTTGAAACCAATGCTATGGAAATTTATCAAGTTAAAAATAATTGATGATTAGACAATATGAGTACAAAGTTGTAAGGCACATACCACTAAGCTTTTAACACTTGTAAGATTATATAAGTGATAGTATGATGCAGCTTTCTGTTCTTCTGTTATATTCTTTCCAGACCAACCAAAGAGGAATTTCATACATGTATCAAGTAGTTTTGTGTAAATTGGAGGTGAAAGAACTTTCTGCCAAAACATTGTCATAGTAAGAAATGCCTTGCGTCCAAAAAAGAGATATACAATATTAGGTGAAGCCTTAATAAAAGCGTCAACAATTGGATTTTGTAAACCTGAGTAAAAATAATAACCAAATTATTATATAATATTCTTAGATAGTGAATAATAAAGTGCATAATTACCTTTAGGACTAGTAGCTGGAGCCAAGGCAACAAAAAGATTAACCTTATAGTTTAGTTTTGGATTGATTGAGAGAGCTGCAAAAGCTTGTGCTGCTCCTTGTGAAAATCCAATATATGTAAGAGAGGGCGCACCAGTTGTCTCAAGAATATACTATATTAAGATTATATATAATACAGTTAAGTACGTATGTTTGTTTAATTGTAAAATGTTAATTCTGTAATTACAAAGTTAATGAAAATAGTTACGTCAATGGTATCTGGTAAATCGTATAGGGCAAATTCATCCATAGAATAGTCCCAGAATTTTCTTGAGCTCGGCTTATACTTTGAATGTTTCATAGAATATTTATTTCCTCGAGCATTACCTAACCAGACGTCGTATCTACATATTATAATACGTCATAAATAAATTACGAAACAAATCAAAAATGATAACACGTATCATGTATAATTAAACATACCCAGCGTCTGTCAACAAGCAAGCCAATCTTCTCTCTTCGTCTAAATTACACATCCAAATTTCGCTACACATCATAAGTCCATGGTATAATAAAACTACTGGCTTTGTTTCTTTTGAAGAGCGCGCTTGTTCAATTCGAATGGCAGTATGAGAGATACCACATTTATCAAACATAGACTCTATGTAGGACCTTGAATCAGCATCATTATTTGAATATTTTCCTTCGGGGAGGCGGTGAATTCCGAGGATATAATGGTCTTGTGTTCTAACAATGTGCTCTTCTATAGTATATCCCCTTTAAAATATATATAAGAATTTGAATGATAATTAACAAGAAAAAGAATGAAAAAAAATTCACCAATATTCAGCCATTTCCCGAAAAGTTTTGACAGTTTGCATGTTTTTTGCCGGACGTGTTCGCGTTTCTTTGTATCGCATCGAGAATAATCTTTTTGATAAGAAAAAAACAAGCTGTAAATAGATTGCACATATGTCCTGCATATATACAATAAATTACCGAAATGATCATTTTTATTTTTTTAAAACCGAAAATTTATGCTTCACATAAAAGTTTTTAATTTCATTAAAAACCTTTATTTCTTTTTTTGCATATTTGATTACGCTTTTTAAAAATGATTGTTTTGGATTTTTTTAAAAAATTTTTTTTAATAAGGAAACGTTCTAATGTCTCAAAATTTTTCATATGTAAATATACATTTACATATAAAAACTTTTTTAGGTCAACTTCTCGATTAGAATGTTTCCTTATAAAAAGTTTTTAAAAATCCAAAGAAATCATTTTTAAAAAGCGTAACTAGTCAGCTTTTAAATATGCAAAAAATAAATAAAGGTTATTAATAAAATTAAAAACTTATATGAAGCTAAATTTTCGTTTTGAATATGTTTTATTAACAAAAAAATGATAATTCCGGTAATTTCTTGTAAGAATGTGTATCTTCGAAGCATACTTTTGGCTTTGTCCTTTAAAATACTCTAGCGCAAAAGTTGGGAGACATAGAGTGACAATACGAAGAAGGCCCTCGAGAAATAAAAGAATGAGACCGATTACTAATGCCTGGTAATCGCGATAGTTTAGACGGCCAAGGATGGGAACGGGCATTATTTGATATGGTAGCTATTTTTTTGAAATCCTTGATCTTGAAATGTTTAAATCGAGTTAATTAAGTTTAAACGATGTTTAACGATAAACATAATGAGATATTCATTAAATTTTTGTAACATGCAGATGCACGTGTAAATTGCAAATAAATTATATATTACATACCCGATAAATGGATAACAAAGTTAACACGATTCATGGTACGTAGGACTTATTATTTGGTTGATGTAAATCAGTTGATGGATGACTTATTTCAATACAGCAATATGACTAATCAAGCTATATTAATTAATTTTATGACATCAAATTTTTATAAGGCTACACAAATTTAATATTTTGGTTTTCATAACACGAAACTTATAAACGGACAGCCAGCTTTTTTTTTTACAGCTGTTTCCATAATTCTGGGACATCTGGACCGACCGAATATTTGCCGATTCGATAAGTTTGTGATTTAGGCAATGGCCACTACCGAATCGGCAAATATTCGGTCGGCCAATTTTTTGCCAGAATTTATGAAAGCAGCTGTAAATTTCATATCGACATAGATTTTTAAAGGGTTATTACAGCTGGTTTCATAAATTCCGGGGCATCTGTCATAAAAAAAATTGACCGTATCGAATCGGCAAATATTCGATCAGATGTTTTTTAGATTTTTTTTTTTTTGTAAATTTTCATAATTTAACCCGGCCGATCAGCAAATGGGGTCTGTGCCTTGAAAATGACCCTACGAGACGTTGTTACACAAGATTTTTATTAAGAAAAACATAGTAAATCTATTTTTAGAAAAAAAATTTCAAGGCACAGACCCCAAATGTTGCCGATTGATGGTTCATAAATTCTGGAAAAACTGGCAAAAATTGACCGACCGAATATTTGCTGATTTGATAAGTTTTGATAAACTATTGATTATTGTCCGAATCATAGCGGAGGACACACTGTAGTATAGGAAGCTTTCTCGTGATTGGTTGATCACGTAAATTAAAAATCACTCATGATTGGTCACTTTGCAAATCATGTGCAAACTGGTTAATCAAATTTTTTAATTTGTCATAAACTGGTTTAATTATTCTAATTTATATTTTAGTTTATACTTTAGTTGAATCAAAATATCTGACTCTTTTTGACAATTATCTGAACCAAACTTTCCAAAAAACTGAACTACAGAAAAATGATATAGTTAATATATTAAACCTTATAAAAACTTCTCTAGAGTACTAGGCATTAGGATGATTATCAAACTAATCAAATCAAACCATAAGTAGATATTATTTATACTAATTACTAATTAGATATTTTTTATGAAAATCTGAATTTATTATGATTAATAACAACTTTCAGTATAGTTTTCTCTTGAATTAACATAATAATTGCAGATTTAATTTATTGTAAATGATATTTTAACTTGTTTAGAATAGTATAACAATAGTATTTTCTCAATTTATGCCATTTACAAGTAATTAATTCTTTAATAAAGTAAAGAAGTTTTATTCAAAATGTAACAATAATAAAAGTATTAAAATTCAAAAACCAAGGTTGTTATGAAAAAAAGAATAACAAAAGCTACAAAATAAAAAAAAATTTAATTCAAAAATTTTATTTAGTTAACTAGAAAATTGTACCTTTGTTAATCATATTAAAAAATATTACTATTTTTATAACATGATACAAACTAAAAAATATTCAAATGATAGCAACAACTAAAAAAGACATATAATTAATGATAATTTTTTTTTTAAAAAAATAGTTAAAATAAGTAATGATAATCATAATAATAGCTATAACAAAAAAAAAACTCTTTCCGTAAATCCTTTTTACACAAAAATAACTAAAAATCCGTCAGTACTAAAATCGTCAATACC